AAAATGATAACTCCGAAACGAGAAAAGATAGAAAGTTGAAATTTTGAGGATATATTCCTCGCCCACATAGAACTCAAAAATTTCAAATTCATACCCCAAGCACGCTTTATTTCTGCGCACGGTCTTGTAACTTCCCTGGCACAAAAATCGGTAACTTGGGGACCATGAAAACTAGAAGGCAGAAGTTTAAAAGGGATGTTCCTAGCTCATGTTCAACTTGAAGAAATCAAAATTGAACCCCAGGCGTATGTGGCTCTCATGTACGGCCCTGTGAATGTTTTTGGTGGAAAATGGCTAACTCAAGAACCAGGAAAGCTGTGAAAACGAAATTTTAAGGACGTGATCCTCGCTTATTTACTACTTAAAATTATCAAGTAGAGCCACTGGGCGTGCGTGGTTCTCACGTGTGGCCCGTGAAAGTTTTGGCGGAAAGAAATGCTAACTCGGGAACCGGGAAAGCTGGGAGGCTGAAATTTTAAAGAGGTATTTCCAACCCACATACAACATAAGTATTTCAAACCCAGCCCCCAGTTATGCTTTCAGGTCACGTACGGTCCAGTGAAATTTTTTGGCAGGAAAACTGCTAATTCGAGAACCAGAAAAACTGGAAAGCTGAGGTTTTAGGAGAATATTCCCCATCCAAATACAACTTAAAGGTTTCAAATTCAGCCTGCAGGTACACATGGTTTTTGTGTATGGACACTCAAATTTTTAGTGAGAAGCTGGGTCATTTTCAAACCCAGGCTGGAACGCATTAGACGGGCCCGGACGATCATGCGTTTTTGCATCGGACTTGAAGTACTCAGGTCATTAACTGCAAGAATGGTTGTTGCTCTACACTTACCTTTTGCGGTCACTGACATAAATCACCATAAATTTTGCATAAAGTAAGTGTATAATTCCCATTTAATCAGTCTTTGAAAGTAAGCTAGTTGTTAAGTCAGGAATTCAGCCAAAAGTTTAAATGCCCGCATGTAAGAACCACGCATGCCTCGAGGATGAATATGAAACACTTAAGTTATACTTGGACAGGGAACAGTCCCCTAAAATTTCAGCTTTCTAGCTTTTCTGGTTCCCGAGTTAGTAATTTTCCCACAAAAAATTTCATACGCACTTACATGAGAACTACGCATAGATTGGAGCTGACTTTGAAGTAATTGAGTTGCATTTGAAAAGGGAACGTTACCCCGATGTTTCAGCTTTCCAGCTTTCCTAGTTCCGGAATTCGCAGTTTTCCCGCTAAAAATTTTATACGCCCTTACGCGAGTACCACGCACGCCTGGGGGCTGAATTTGAAATCTTTAACTAGCACATGCACATGGAATATCCCTACAAAGTTTCAGCCCTTCAGGTCGCGTCGTTCCCGAGATCGCCTTCCGCCAAAAAAGTTGCATATTTATTTAAAGCGTCCGTGCATTGCACCCGGGCGTTCGTGGGGATGAAATTAAAACGTGAGGATCGCGCATGGTATGAGTACATACTCCCATAGTTTCAGCTTCTCGCTTTTCTGTTCTCGAGTTGAAAGCGGGCGGCAAAAAATGCGAACACACAGACACACATACACACACAGATAGCCTCTTCCCAATATGCGTTTCTGCAATTTGCATATATGCAAAAAAGCATAAAAAACGGCTGCTAAGAGCAAATTGTTTATTTTCTTTTATGCAAAATTTACGGTGATTTACGGTATCGAGCGCGCAAGGTGGATGTGAAGCAACAACTGTTCATGCAGTTAACTTAATTATTTCAAACTTGGTGTAAAAACTTATGATCGCACCGGCTCGCCTAGTGCTTTCCAGCCTGGGTTTTTATTAAAATGAGTAATTTTAGAACGGTCAACTGTAACCTTCTCAGCTTGGGAAACACTTTGTAAAATTCTTCAGCCTGAGATCTGCTGTTGCTATCCTCAGCAAGAATCAGTTTGCAAATTTTCCAGTACAAGGATAATTCACCGAAGGAGGAAAAAAATGTGATTCTCTCTTTCTAGGCGTTCGTTAAACCCTAAAATAGCCAAAAAAACATTACACTGTTTGTTAAACATGCGAAAATCTCTTAATTGATGAATGTGAACTATGTTTTACTGAGAATTAATGATAAAAGCATACCCAAACCATTTTTCATCCTTTCGACAAGCACTTTCCATTGCACCGGAGGAAAACAAAGTCCAAAAATTAGGACAAGTGCAGGTGATGCCAGTGAAACCTGATTGACAGTCAAGTAGTTACCAATC